CACCATCATCATCACTTACCGGGCATCGTAGAACTCCACAAAGGCAAAGGGCGGCCCGCGGCGAGTCTTCAGATCAACGTAGGCGACGTCGCCGAACTTGTAGAAGAGGTCCTCGACGTCTTTTGTTCTGACATCGGGGGGTAGGTTCCCAACGAAGACGCGGTTGGCCTTCGAGGGGTTAAAGGAGGAGGAGGAGGATTCCTCGCGACGAGACATGATGTTCGGCTGGAGAGCACGTTGTGATTTTTTGATGGTGGTCGTTTGACGCTTGCTGTGCGCGAAGTGAAGTGCAAAACACGAGTGAAGTGAAGTGGCGCACAAAGAAAAAGCAGCGGCGAGGAAGAAAGAGAGAGAGGAGAAAGTTCTACAGAGAGAGAGAGAGAGTAATGTGAAAAGCAGCCGCCAATGCTGCCGCAACGGCAATGCCGAAATGCTGCTCGCTTTACACAGTGCAAGTGCTTACGACATCTGTGAAAAAGGATTCAAACGGATCTCAACTTTTTAGACTTTTTAGATCAAACTCAAAATCGCTTTATTATCAAGATGAAGTACACGCAAATGTTTACAAGAAGCTGGGGAGGAAAAAAAAGGTGGAAAAGAGGTTGTAGTTATTGATTATCAAGATGGCTGCTGCTGCTGCTGAAGAGCTTACCAGTCGCAAGGTGTCATACTGAATGACGTAGCCGTTGAGCAGCGAAAAGCCAGAAGGTGTCTCCTTTAGGACGGCGGCCATGTTGGCCATCTGCTCAAGAGGAAGATGGTAAACAAAAAGATAAACCTAGTAAATCAGTACCTTAATCGCCTGGTAAGCTGATAAGGCCATCGGTGAACGATTAAAAAAGGAAGCTCGGCCCAACATTGAGGCGGCGTTCCGCGCCAGCGCCTCATTTCGAGTGACCACCTTGCCACCGGTGGTGGCGATAGCCACCAGGATAGCGCCATTGACCGAGAGAACGATCCCATAAGTTGCCTTGCCCAGCAGGAGGAAATCGGTCAGGAGGAGGATGAAGAGGATGAAACCGATGAGGAGGACGTAGAGGACGAAGATGAAGGTGAGGTACGGGCGCCAGAAACGCCCGTATTCCTCCAGCTCATCCTGAAGGTGGGCGTACCGGGTAGAGGCTTCCAGAAGGTTTCGATTTAGTTGAAATTGATGATTTGATGCTAGGCCTTTCACGCCCCCTCGACAAAGTTGACCCAGGCTGTTCTCCAGTGATCCGGCAATGGCCTGCTGCTTGATGTGAAGGTACTTCGCCACCACGATGAAGGGAATGAGGTTGGTGTAGAGGAGGGCGGACATGGCGTAGATCCAGTACACCATCACCGCCGTCCAAAAGGCGCTCACTGTAGTATGGGTAAAATAGAGGGGCGTTCGCAGATAGAGGATCACTACAGAGGCGGGGCCCAGGGTGGAAATAGAAACTATGGTACTGTGGAGGAAGAGGGCGGCCAGGCGGCGGAAGCGGTACAGGCGGAGCAGCTGGCCGCGGGTTAGGTCTAAATAGGCGGAAATTGGTAAAAACAGAAGGTTTAAAAGGATGAAAATAGGAATTTTACCTAGGGCTGATGGCAGCAGGTACTCCGGCCGCTTCGGTGATATTCTCAGCACCGCCAGGCATTTGTTGTCCAGAATGGAACTAGTGAGGGAGAAGCGGAAGTAGAGCACCGCAATGGCTGACCAAAGGAAGAAGGTCGTCTCGATGAAGAAACCGCCCTCCTTTGCAATGAACTCCGTTCCGATGGCGATCCGTTTCCATTCGCTGTCAGTGGCCCAACTAATGCAGGAAATGGCAAAGCAGCGGACGGCAAAGAAGAGGAAGAAGACTGATTGAAATCGAAGATGAGCTGGGTGGCTTTTTATTGTCAGTGGGTAGTTGAGGTATCGTTTTGAGTGCTGTTTTCCCGGGTAAAGTGACCGGTACTGGAAAAGGCAGTAGACGGGAAATGTCTCATATATCCGCCGGAAGTGCCGGCGGTCGTAGTGGACGCCATACTGGACAACCAGCTCTTCAAAGTAGTGCAGAGTGTAGTAATTTCGAAGCAGGAAGCGGACCACCTTGAAGGGCATCGTCTGGAAGCTGACGGCTGCTAAAATTTTGAAATTTTAAAGAAAAAGTGTCAAATCTTGAACAAAATTGTGATTTTGAAAAAGAAAATGAGCAAATGATTCGCTAATAAAAAAAGTGAAATAATAAAAAATTGATTACGCAAACATGTTTTTCTTCGGTTCGGTTTTCTAGGTACAAAAAGATAAACTTTTTCAATTAGTCACCGATCATTTACCTTGGGTTTAAAAAATGGCTCAATTAGCAGCTGTACATATGTTTAAATTAAGCTACTACCATTCAGTAATTAATCATCGACTGTTCAGCCTGACGGGAAGATTGAGTTGTTGTCCGGATGTTGCTGATTTCTTTCACTGGAATATGCATTGCATTACTAGGTGACATTGTCTGCTACTACTGAAATGTGTGTGCCTCATCTGGAGAATCGATTGAAGTTATATTATTAAATAGTAATGATAACATGCACAAAACTGTTTGTTGAGAGGGAGAGAGGAGAGGAGACAGATTTGTGGATTCGGTTTGCCAACACAGAGAGAAATCGACCGAGTACTAGTGACACACACAGTACATTACTTTTGGGGCTTCTTGCTTTTCTTTTTCTCCTTCTTTGGCTGTTGGCCTTCTAAGTTGTTGGTGGCAGATGGTGGTGGCTCACTCTTTGGTTTGGGGCTCCTTTTCCTCTCCTTCTTTGTCTTCTTCTTTTCCAGCGGCTTTTCAGTCGCCGTTTCCGCCTCCCCTTTCACTTTGCTCTTTGACTTCTTTGGTGCCTTTGATTTGGGAGCTTTTTCAGCCAGCTTGCTAGTGGAAGCTGCCGATAGACTTGGTTTCTCCGCTTTTGATGACTTGCTTGAGCTGCTTCTGCTGCTGCTGCTGTCCTTGGTCAGCTTGCCTCCATCTGTTGTTCCGGTGGACATCAGAGGAGTTGCAGTGGCAGGAGCAGTCTTGTCACCTTCTAATTTGGGTTTAGTAGCAGCAGCAGCACTCTTCTTCTTCTTTTCCTTCAGCTTTGAGCTGCTCTTGGACTTTGGCTTGCCCTCCGCCTCAGTCTGTGCCAGTAAAGACAATTTCGCCTTGCTTTTTCCTTTCTTATCCTTTGATTTCTTAGGCTTGCCCGGAGGTTCTGCCTTGTTAGTAGTGGAAGCTGGTGCTAAGTCTGCCGGTGGCTTTTCAGCTTTTGATTTGCTTGAGCTGCTGTCTTTGGTCAGCGGCTTATCACCGACTTCCACTTTAGCGTCAGGTTTTGGTGATTGGGCGTCAGTGCTCGCTTTTGCAGCACTCTTCTTCTTTTCTTTCTTTTCCTTTGAACTGCTTTGAGAAGTATTTTCTTTTAATTCACTTGGCGCCGGTGAGGTAGATTTCAGATTACTTTTGCCATCTTTCGCCTTTGACTTCTTTTCCGGCTTTGCCGACGTTTCCACCTTGATATCTATGGTGAGCTTAGTTTCGCTCACCTTTGAGCTGACTTTGGGCAGTTTGTAGGAGGTAGACTGTGCAGAAAGGGCTAATTTTTCCTTCTTCTTTTTCTCTTTTTTAGGCTTTGGGCTTTTGCCTGCCTTCACCGGAAGAAGATCAGCTGCACTTGGTTTAGCGGCACTTTCGACCTCCTCCTTTTTTGGCTGATCACTTTTAGACGATTTGTAGGCCTCAATCTGCGCCAGTAAAGTGGGCGACTTTCCACCGGCAGTTTTCACCGCCAGTCCCGGCTGCAGGACTTCTTTCACAACTTCCAAATTGTTGTCCTTGGTCAACTTGTTTTCAAATGAAAACAGAGTACC